CCCATGTATACCGATCGCGATGGCCTTTTTTATCTGTGGAGTGGTTTGGCTCCGTAAGACATGTCTTGGTTCCGAGCCCTTCTTATAGAGCAGGCGGCTGAGCTGCTCGATGAAACTAGGTTTGCTCTCGAGGGGGAAGCTCGTGTGGAAGGATGGGAGAACCTGATTTGGTGGTGTTCGCTCCCCTTTCTTTGTTGATGGAGCTACAGGGACATTTGCTGGTTGAAGTGGGGGCTCTTTGGGGACGGTTTGCGAAGAGGGTTCTGGGGGAGTTGCAGCTTGAGGTATAGCGGTAGATGGTTTGACACGAGAGTTCTTGGAAGACGGGATATTTTGTGTCTCTGCAGCCAGTGAAGCCCCCTTCATCTGTTCCTTCGTGTTTTCGTCAGGTGGTACATTCTCAGATGCATTTTCTCCTTTCTTAGCGGAGGAACCTATATCTGCTTGCTGTCTCGGCCAAAACAGCCATCCTGATGCCGATTCTCCACGTTTGTGCGTAGCATCTTCGGCAGGTTGATTTTTATCACTTACACCTTCTGGTTGTGATTGGCTAATACTCTCTTCTTGAGGATTGGATTGTGGTGTAGTGGTGGTGTTCTCAGCGCTTTGGGGATTCGATATCGGCTCAAGTGGTTTTGCTTGAGTAGCATTAGATCCACCCCATAGCTGAAGCCACGACCTTGACTGTGAAGCCCGGACTTCTTTGAGTCCAGAGGTATCATGTTGGTTGATATCTTCTTTAATCGTACTGCATGTGTCTTCAAGTCCAACCTTTGGCGTAGACGAACCGTCCTCCTTCACAATGGCAGGGTCTGATGACTGCGGAGTAGGTTCATTTGTGTTCTTTGCCATTGAGAGCCACTCAAACCAGCCTATCGAGCGAGGTTTTTCGTTATTTATTTCCTTCTGTGGCAGATCAACTGTTGTTTCTGATGGCGCATTTGGTGAACCCTTTTTTTGCTCAATGGCTTGGGTTTCTTGTGGTGTTTCGTCCTCCTTTGGCTCGCCTTCCACCTTATCCGTACCTTCAGACGGCTTTAAGCCGTTATGAACGTTCCTGGCGATATTATTCGAGATGTTTGGTGTTGGCATAGATGGGGCCTCTGTGGATGCGATATTCACTTTTGTGGTGGCAACTTCCGCTGGAAGTGACCGGGCGGATATTCCAACCCCTTTCGTAAACTGGATGGAAGGAGGCCGGGAGGATATGGCTGTGCTTCGTAAAGACGAGGATGATCGCGAGCGTTGAGAGGCTGCTGAACTAGCTGCCGATATGCTCTCACGGGCGACCTCGGTAACGGCCGCCGCTTTGGACTGAGTGGGCCAAGATCTAAGGTACCAGCTCTATGGGAAAAGGGGGGTCAGTAGAGGCAGACCTAACTATAGCATAACAAAAAACATCCTCACCATTCCATCTCCTGGTAGTTCCTTGATGGTGTCTTCGTTGGTAGTCGCACTGCTCGTACTTGGTGGATGTGAACTGCTGCCTTTCTGGCCCTTTGATGCTCGTGCGGCACGCGCTGCGGGAGCCATCGAGGCCGATGATAGAGCATCACCACGCAGTTTGGCGGTCCAGAGAAGCGTCTATCATGTTCTCCTGGTCAATACAAGGCCCCTCCAAGCGTGTAGGTAGTATTTGCAGAGGTTCAATAATATGTTGTCTCTCTTTCGTTGCTTCGATGCGCCTCGTCGTGGTCAGTAGCTCAAGTAACGTGATGTCATTGATTATATAATAGAGAATCTGATAAGGGACTGATTAGGGCGGTGAGGCTCGGCAGAAAAGTTGCTTTTGCAGAGCTTTTTTTTTTCTGTGCTGAACCTGGACATAACGTGCAGACAGCCAGACACTGTCATTTTTTATATATCCAGGGGGGAGAAGTTGAGTGCTCGGGGCCGGGCCATTAGAGTGCACCATGGCGATCCAGAAGAAGGTAGGTTATTCACTGCTATCTTCTCTTGTGCTGTGAATGGGAGGTTGCTGACTGTTTGGTCACCCAGCACGGAAAAGGTCGTTTAGATAAGTGGTATCGATTGGCAAAGGAGAAGGGATACCGCGCGCGAGCTGCCTTCAAATTGATCCAGCTGAACAAGAAATATGGCTTCCTCGAGAAGAGTAAAGTCCTTTTGGATCTTTGCGCAGCCCCAGGCGTAAGACAATGCTACCCTTCTTTAATATCCCACTGGTATACTTAAAGTCCGATGACATCCTAACGCCATCTTCTGAATGTTTTAGTCGTGGTGTCAAGTTGCAGCCGAATGCATGCCATCGCAGAGCCTTATAGTTGGCGTTGATCTCTCCCCTATCAAGCCGATCCCTAAAGTTATCACGTTCCAAAGCGACATCACAACGGATAAGTGCAGGGCCACAATTCGACAACATTTCAAGACTTGGAAGGCAGACACAGTACTTCACGATGGTGCGCCAAATGTCGGTACTGCCTGGGTTCAAGATGCTTTCTCCCAGGCAGAATTAGTTTTACAGTCATTGAAGCTAGCAACTGAATTCCTAGTACCCGGAGGAACTTTTGTCACGAAGGTTTTCAGATCGAAAGATTACAATCCTCTTCTTTGGGTTTTCAAACAACTCTTCACCACAGTGGAAGCGACCAAACCACCGTCTTCTCGAAATGTGTCGGCCGAAATTTTCGTTGTCTGCCTCGGATTTAAAGCACCCAAGCACATCGACCCCAAGTTCCTGGACCCCAAGCATGTCTTTGCAGAATTGCAAGATCCAAACCCGAACAATGAGGCCAAAGTTTTCAATCCAGAAAAGAAGAAGAGAAAGAGAGATGGATACGAAGAAAATGACTGGACCCAGCACAAAGAATTACCAGCGACGGAGTTCATAAACACCACAGATCCTATATCAATTTTGGGTTCGTATAACAAACTCACATTTACTCAATCGCCGGGCGGGGATCTTGCACTTGCAACTCTGCAGCGATTACCAGAGACTACCAACGAAATACGGATGTGCTGTGAGGATCTCAAAGTTCTTGGTAAAAAGGATTTCCGACAACTTTTGCGATGGAGGATCAAAGTGCGCGAGAAATTTGGACTAGCGGTGAAAAAGGGGCCAAAGAATGAGGAGGAAACCGAAGAGGTTGCCGAAGTAGAACCCATGGACGAAGAACTTGCCCTCCAAGAAGACCTTAGGCGTATGCATGAGCGCGAGACTTCCAAAAACAAACGAGAACGGCGGAAAGAGAATGAGCGAAAACGAAAGGACATTGTCAGATTGCAGATGAATATGACGACGCCCAAGGAAATAGGAATGGAGCAGGCTGGCCCCCTGGGAGAGGGAGCAATGTTCAGATTACAGACAGCAGAGAAACTTCCCGCTGCGCGCTCGGTATCTGCTAGTAGTATGGCGGCTGCGGTAGAAAGCAGTAGCGAAGAGGAAGAAGATTCCAGTGAAGAGGATTCAGATGAGGACGGTGACCGATTAGAGCGTCAGCTTGATGAACTTTACTCCCAGTACCAAGAAGCACGCGACAGTCGAGATGCCAAATTACGCGCCAAAAAGTCTCGCAAGGATTACGAAACAGAGGAGTGGGAAGGCTTCTCTGACGAGAGAGGAGAGGAATCAGACAACCAATCTCCTCAAACATTCCCTGCAGCACCTGTGGGGGACCATGTCAACGGTCTTTCCAACAAGGCCGCTATGTTTTTCGATCAAGATATATTCCAGGATCTTGGAGCCGTTGAAGATGGAGAAGCAAGCGATGACCCCAGCGCCGCAAAGACAAATGGTGTGACCAAAGAACAATCTACTGTCACTAATAAAGAGGCAACTAAAAATAAACGAAAAGCTGCTTCACCCTCTCCGTCTATATCCAGTGACTCCAGCTACCAGGAGGTCGAGCTAGAGAAGTCAGAAACCTTTGAAGACGACGACGACCCCAATTTAAACGATGACCCACGGAAGAAAAATGGGCAACTGGGTAGGTTTCTCCAACCACTTATTTCTAAGTTTACAATAGACAATTACTAACTTGGTCATGACAGATGTCGACATAATAACAGCCGAAGCCATGGCTTTAGCCCATCAAATGGCCAGGGGCGAGAAAACCACTGAAGACTTTGTTGACGATGGTTTCCATAGATATTCATTCCGCGATGTTGACGGTCTCCCGCAGTGGTTCCTCGATGACGAGAATCAACATTCGAAAATACAAAGGCCGATAACTGCCGCAGCAGCGGCAGCTATCCGAGAGAAGATGCGCGCTATCAATGCCCGACCGATCAAGAAAGTCCGTGAAGCCAAGAGCAGGAAGAAATTCAAACAAGCTCAAAAGCTGGAAAAACTACGCAAGAAGTCATCGCTGTTAGCCGAGGATGAAGGCATCAGTGAAAGAGATAAGGCCCAGTCAATTGCGAAAATGATAAGCAAGGCCACTAAGAAAAAGCCAAAGCAGAGCGTCAAGCTTGTAGTAGCTAGAGGAGGGAATAAAGGCATTTCAGGTCGTCCTCGGGGAGTCAAGGGACGCTACAAGATTGTCGATGCTCGGATGAAAAAAGATATCAGAGCAGAAAAGAGATTGGCGAAGAAAAAGAGCAAATGAAATATAATTATATAGAGAGAAGAATAGATTCGCCAATACGTGCCTGCTATTCTTCAACCTTCAACAAAGGAATTCCCGAAAAATATCTATCGCTATGCTATTAAACAACCAGCGTAATGCTTGCCGAAATAATGGCATTTTAATCACCACATAAACATGAAGTAAGCCGAAATAACCAAGTCGATGTTAAATGCAACGACCACCCGTCAAGCTGGGGTTTCATAGTTCACAACTATGAAGGAAACAAATACAAGGGTAGCACCGAACCAATACATTCCAGTTGCATATTTGTGTTGGATAATAATTTGACCAAGCAACGATAACGGAATATTGAGACTCAGTCCAATTGTCACGATAACCGGACTCGTGAGCAATAGCGAGAATGCCCAACATATATCAGACGCGAAAGATATGATTGCATTAACCTCTCAGAAGTCAGCATAAAAATCCAGCTCTCACTTCAACACCAGTCGCTATAATACTTACCAAAACGATCAAGAAGACAAGTTTGGTTGGCGGAAAGGCAAATGGCTCGACCCCAGTATAATGCAATACTACGAACCCAGGCCAGAGGATTATAGAAGCGAAAACTCCGACCAGACCAAAAAAGAGGCGCATGTCAACTCGTGACTCGTCTTCAACCCGTCTCTTCATCAAAGTGGTATAAACTCCGTATAACACAGCACTAAATGCGGCCATGAAGTTACCAAGAATAACTTCCCCAGGCGGCTTATTGGGGAAAGTACCATTCTTCGAGCCAGATGAGCTAGAGATATCCACTCTGGATATTAAAAATATGCCGATGAGGGACGTAAGAACTCCGATACATTTGCGGAGTGTGAACTTCTCAACCTTGATCATTGCTCCGAATATAAGTGTCCATACACCTAGAATAGAATGTTAATAACTATATTCTCTATTTCACCACGGAGAGCTTACCACTTGTAGAAGTCAAGACAGTGGTACTGGCAACACTTGTGTACTGAAGACATGCCATGGCAAAGTAGTTTGCCTTTGAGCTCGTAGTTAGACTAACATGCTTCCTAAGAGATATATTTTTGAACACCAGTGTATAGATATTCTTACCGCAAACTTCACATGAGTTAGTACCTATTAGCAGAAAATAATTGAGAAGGCCCTGCTTACCCATATTATGCAAAACTCCAAGCTCAACTTAGCTGTTTCTTTGAATCCCAGCTTGGTTCCGGTGGTCGCATGTTGCTCCTGTACACCTGCATCTCTTGTCTCTTGTGGCAGTCCTTCATCTTTATCGGAGCGTAAAATTGGCTGTGTCTCTTCTCCCGACGCAGGACGCTCAAACTCCCGAATTAGTGCTTGAAATGATCTGATATCTCGTAATTTTCCCGTCTTCCAGAGCCTGTGAATTCGCCCACCAACGAAGGGCACCAGCATGAAGACGAAGGAGCCGCTGTTGAGATATGTTACCAGGTATGGCTTGGAATAAGTGTTATCGGCGAATATAGTCTGTTATTATTATGCAGCATCGATATTAGTAAATAACTACAAGTCATGCAATCATAACTACCGTTATTATTGTATCATTGATGGCAGGAATATGCAGCGTTTAGCTTAGCCGTGAGGAAGCTGTTGGGAACCTACGCTGGCAAGGAAGTTCGACGTCGTCCAGAGCACCACGACTATCAGGAGGAGAAAAGTGCCCAGGGTCCGCCGACCGCGTCTGCCCATGCTGGTTGGGGCCATCGGGCTACCTTGATCTCCGCCCAAGAGTGCAGTGGTCGATGTTGGGTGTGGTTGATGGTTGTCGGATGGCCCTTGGTGCTCGTATCGCTGGTTGGCGCTATCAACGCCGTCAGAGACATCGTGACCAGCCACCATATTTACTAAAGACAGACTGACATGGATATCTCATATACAGACCGAGTAATACATGTAAAATGAAGGGTAAACGAAGGACAGAGGCTCTTCCCCAGTGTTCCCGTCCTACTTTCTGTGGCTGGCTACCGTATGCTTTGGTGTAACGCTCCGGCCTTGCCGCTGGTCTACCGATTTTAGTTATGCCAGAGTGAAGGTGCAACGAAGTATAGAAAGGACACTGTGTGAAGGCAAATAACCGAAGGAAAATGATGGAGAAGTCCAAATAGGTAACAGCTGCTGGGAGAAGGGATAATATAGGTCAAATGGCTATATATATACACTCCTGTATTAAAGGAAAACCGAGTGCAAGAAATAGGGATGGCATCTGAATTCAGTACAGCTGAACTTCATTGAACGCGCAATGGGCCGTCTCCCTGAATGATGACTCCGGCAAAGTGAAAATTCGGCAAGGAAACAGTAATATGCAAGGGTCAATATCCTATATCCCAGACGAGAGGGCAAAAGGTTGCGATATTAAACGGAGTGTGATGTAAACGCCGAAAAGAAAGTCCCATGATAATTAAGTGAAGGAGGGGGTTCTAAAAGGATCAGTCGAAGGTTGTCATTAACAGGCACAGGCGTCTCGATCACTGTCGTGGTTGACGTTGATAACATCATCGAAGTCCCCGTTGAACTCCTCAGACTCTTCTTGCATGAGGGCACTCTTAGCAATCACTGTTGTTCATAAACATATTAGTATATCGCTTTAAAGGCGTTAAAGAGGTGTTAAAGACCGACCTTCAAACGCTTGCTCTACATTAATAGCCTCCTTGGCACTGGTTTCGAAGTAGGGAATGTTGCCCTTCGATTGACAGTATGTAGAGGCTCTCTTCGAGGATATCATTCTTTTGCTCTCTTCGACATCAATCTTGTTCCCGAGCACAACCTATACTTTGCATTAGTTTTTCTCAGGTTCAAGCAGTACAAGTGAAGATATGCTGCTCACAAAGGGAAAGCTTTCGGGATCTCTCAAGTTGGCTTGAATGAGGAACTCATCTCTCCAACTATCCAAAGTCTCGAAACTCTTAGAGTTATTGACGTCGTATACAAGGACACAGCAATCGGCGCCTCGGTAGAAGGCAACTCCCAGCGACTGGAATCTCTCTTGCCCAGCAGTATCCCATATCTGGAAGAAACATTTAGTTTATTGTATGCCCAAGTGATGCTTTGTGTAAGGTCCAGTATGTACCTGCATCGTGACCAGTCGTCCATCTACCATGACTTCCTTGGTAAGGTAGTCAGCTCCGATGGTGGCTTTGTAGCTGGCACTGTATTTTTTGTTGACCTAGCCATCAAGGAAGAAATATTAGCAGGGCGATTCTCCCAAGGAGCAGTATAACTCAGTATAGGATGAAAGAGCCACTAACATATTGGTTCATCAAGCTCGTCTTGCCCACACCGCTATCACCAAGGATGATAACCTGTATTTGAAGAAGGAAAGCATCAGTGACCCATCTTCCATCAGACAGAGAGGCCGTTTTTTTATCTATTGCAAGTAGCCCACCTTCAATAGAACCTTCTTGCGGGACGCCATGGCTGCAGGGTAGTATGTATGACAGCAAAGGCAAGCTCAGGTTGCCAGGAAGTCGGTCGGAGAGCGGGAGGGCGCCGTCAGGGAACACCACGCAGAGCCGAGCTGCGAAAGAGTCGTTTTGCGGTAATCTGTCGGTGAGTATAGGGCACTGTGTACACTGTACAGCTCTACTCTGGCTATATCTGTATAACCAGAGCTCTCTGCGGGCGATGAGGGGGTGAAGAGGGTCGTTGGTTATATTTGGTGTTTTGGAGCTTCCAGCGAAAGTTGAAGTTGCATAACATCATAACACGGGCGCCAAGACCGTGACCCTTATTTTCCCCTGGTAGCGTCACATGATGGACACAACCCGCCCGTGTATAAAAAGAATGAAAAGAGGAAGATATGGGAATGATGCAGGCAGAGACAGGAATGCACGGCGATGGAGACATGGCTATCCTGAGCTTTGATTGCTTTGTAAAGGGGAACATGCTACGGCTGTTGACTGGAACACTCTGAGACAACAGGAGAAACTAGATACTGCAACAGGACATATGGGCTTACCTTGGGAGAATCAAGACGTAAACAGTAACAGGCACCCCCAGTATCTAGTTAATATTGACGGCCGCCTGGTTGCAAACTGTTAGTTGCATACGGAGTACGGAGTAGTTAGAGGCTCATTTTACAGTAGTAGCAGTGCCAAGACCCGCCGCTTCTTAGCCGCAAGTTACCGCGATGACATGCAGGTTGCGAGATAGACACACTACGGGTGACAGGCCTCTCTGCAGCAGAGGAAGATATGGCCATGCCGCACATAGAGGGATAGGCTGCTGAGCGCTTCGAGTGTTCCTTCAGAAGCAACGCTGCAGGGAATATAGAGACCGCTTAGGTACCAATAACTGCCTGCATCGGAAGGGCTCCGGTTCCCCGTTGTCTCCCACCTTATCCAATAATATCTCTTTTTTTATAATTACGTAATTAGAATACCACCTCTCTGCTTGTTTTTATATATGTACGTTGGTTTTAAACCCGAATTTTGGCCCGATGGCACAAATAGTCCGCCGTACCCACTTAGTCCACCTCATTACTGCCTGACAATTTCTTGAGCTTCTGACCCAATAGTCCCTGCTCTCTCTCCATCACTGTCCCTACACATAGTGATCTTCACCCTCAGGTACAACAAGCTTGCCTCGGCCAGGTTGCACGGTCAGTATGTCAAGCTGGAGGCAGGACTACTCTGCAGCCTTGCGTATCAGGGACCAGCAAGAAAAGGCATATGTTTCCGTTCTGGAGGCCTGTATGTCCTTCTATAGCATTTCGCCATAACCTTGTCTATGCTTTTTTACTAAATGACGGCATAGATACCCGCTTAGCTGATCGCTCAGGCAGCCTGGAAAAGGAACGAGCTGAAGCCGTTCGATATGCCCAAAACCTTTCAGGGTCCAAAGAGAATGATACCCCCCAAGACAAAAAATACCAGAGCCCGCATGATAGCCCTGCCGTTATACCAGGGCTAGACCCCCTGCTTACTGCGAATCAAGACTTGGCTGCTGCACAAAAGGCGCGAGAAGAACTCTCAAATAAGCTTGAGAAAGCCACGGGGAAGATAGATACACTTTTAAGAAAATTGAATACAGAGTCACAGAGGGTAGCGGATTTGGCCGTAGAAAGAACACAGCTACAGATCCGTCTAAGGGATAGGGACGAGGAATTAAGGGGGAAGGCTAAGCTACTTGACGTTCGTTCCGACTCGATACCTTTATTTTGATAGAAAAAAAATAACTTATAAGGTTATAGGATGTCCAAGATGAGCTTGTAACCCTAAATCTACAATTTAACATGGCCGAAGAGCGGGCTAAGAGGTTTGAAGAAGAGAATCAACAGCTCGTAGATAGATGGATGGCAAGAATGGGACAGGAAGCTGAAGCAATGAACAAAGCATCCAGGTTTTCATAATTTAGATTTGTACGCCCCGAGGAAGAAGGATAGAACAGCTTGTCGATAGGTGATACAGCCTCATTATGCAGTCTTAGATAAATTAAATAAATAGGATACTAAATGTACATCAATTTTCAATTTCTTTGTCTAATAACCACAAAGTTCTCTAAATACGAAAAGCGCCAGATCACCTGTCACTGTCAAGCTTGCTCAAACGATAACACAAACCCGAACCCAACCATTCCAGCCGTCCGGGTATAAACCGCCAAAGTACCGCCAATCCAACGAGTGTTGTCCAGAGAAATAAGTGAGTTTAACAACACTTCGACAAATTTATAGAGAATGACCAATCTATAGGGAAAGGAAAAAATAACGGGGTATGCATGGCTCGCGAGAGCTCTGGAAGGTGACCAAAAAAAGCAGAGGAACCAAAACGTCTAATAATTGCGGCAATCTCCATCTATAATCGTCAGCAACGTTTCGAAAGGGATAGAAACGAAGTAGCTGTCTAGGTCGTTGCATTTAAAAAAAAAGAAGAAAGAAAAGAGAAGAGTGTAGGATCACTCAGTTATAAAGAGAGTCTGAAAAGGCTCTTAGCCTGGAGCTATCCTTTTTCGCAATGAAATAGGTGCCTCCAGCATTGGTCCAGCTAACAGAGTCAGACCAGTAATTATGTCTCTCAACTGAAAGCAGGTTGATAGGTGAGTTGAGGTTTCGGGCTTGCATCTTGTGTCCTGTCGGAACAAAGGATTTGAGTGATACAATCTGGCAACCTTCTTTCAGGTCAAGCAAAAGATTGATTATCCTGTTGTTCGTTTCCGGGGTGAAAGCCTGATTATTGATAAGAACGACGTCAGCCCGCCGTAGAGCCTTAGCTATGCGTTCGTTGTCCAAGAAGTCACCCTGGACTAAATGCACTTTGCCCGATGACAGGCCCCATAAACGGCATCTAGCTTTGAATTCAGCCTGCTGCAGACGAGCCAAGTCGCAGGCATTTTGCATCATCTCACAACCCCAGCTCTCACAACCAACCTCCAGGGCGGCCTGGAGGACAACGTTGCCCACACCGGAACCCAGATCAACGAATACCTGGTCAGATTTTAAATGCGTCTTTTGGAATATATCTGAGATAAAGCGGGGTAGGAGCTCTCCATAGACGTTATCAGTTCCGTTTTCGTACTTCTTGAGCGATTCCACACGCAGAGAGACAGTTCGGCTATACACCTGGGTTAGAATTCTCTCAACCCACGGCAGCGAGAGTGAATGCATCGCATCGAGATGTTTGGCAATAACGCCTTCGTCCCGGAGCCGTCTGATGGTTTCATTATACGCCTTCACCGCGTTCCAAAAGTCCTTTGGCGATTCCTGTTTGATGGCACGCCGCAAAAGACGGATATAGCCGGTGGAGTCGTCGGTGAAAGCAGATATCTGGTCCTCAGGGATATAGTTGTGTGATACAGTTTCGACTACCTGCACAATATCTTCCAACGGCTTGAACCCATCGTTTTCTCGCGGTATGACCAGCTGATACCTTTCCCTCTGTGAGTATGTGGGATACTGAAGAGCTATTGTTGTGCACCCGCTGGGCTCTTTAAAAGCACTGCTGAATCCTGGCGTCTTCTTCTCGATGGATGCTATGTCCATGGCATGGACCATCGGGAATGAGTGTTCAGCAGTCTCAGAAAACGCAATCTCGGAGCGTAACTGGCGTTTTAAATCTGGCTCCGCGCTCGCGCTCACCTTAGTCCTTTTCGATAACCGGATATCCAGAGACTCGTCGGTCTCGCTGCCATCGCTACTGCTAAGGAGTTGTTGGACTGCGGGGGACGATCGCTTGCGGGACACGGATCTTGAACGGGGCGGGTTAACGGCCAGATGATCGGACTTGCTAGCAACAGCAACCTTCTTCTTCACAGTTCCGGTAGAGTCGGATAAGGTCGATTTCCGTGGGGATGTGACGGTACGTTTGGCGGATGATTCGGAGTGCGCGCGCTGGGAGGGGGGTTTCACGGGGTGTGATGGGGCCGATGAAGACCGGACGATGGGCGGCTTGCATTCGACTCTCCGTATCTGAGCCTTTTGGGCCTGTATCACACCTGTCCCTTTCTTCTGAAGGTGGTCGAAAAAACCCATCGTCGGTCACAAGGCTGCAGGCAGACCCTGTTGCCCTCGCAGCTTATTCAGTGTGAAGTAAAGAATGTGGGTGGTTAAAGAATAGGCGTGCGAAGGAGAAATCAATGAATAGAGGATATTTATAAAGAGCGAAAGGTATGTTAAGGATATCTTCACGTCAAACCCGTGAAGCCTGGCTGTATTTGCTTCCCTTTGCGTCTTCTCTTCTTCTTCTTCCGCTTTCTTTATTGTCGAAAAAGCGCGGCGGATAACGATGTCACGGGACCTTGGTCACGAGGGCTGATGAGGCTGAAAAGCTTAAGCTTACTAAGAAAGTATCTTCGTAATCGACCACACCTTAATTCTACGCACGGAAAGTCTAGAAAGGCGAAGGAAAAAATCGATAGCAAGGGGCAGGTTTTCCAAGTTGTGGCAATAGTTGGACGTTGTACGGAGTAAGACTCGGTTTAATTGGCAGATGAAAGGTGGATTGCACCTATGTTGATTGATTGGCCCTTAGGATGAGATGGGATCGTTTGTAGTAGTATATGATAGGGACAGGACAAATCTCCATCGTCAAGGTAGATATTAAATAAATTAATTTGTTTAAAGAGACATGGCCAATAACAGCCAGGAAATGGCCCCAGCTCGACAGGGTAGTATGTCCAGAAAGTGTCGTCCGGGTTGAGTCGATCAAACGCGAGACAAATGAAAGGGATAGAAGATGGTGTTTGAGGGAGGGAATGCATCTGCAGCAGCCTCACATTTCATTAGTAGTCCAAGAGGAGGCAAAAGGGAGAAAAGGCTTAAAAGAAAGAGCGAAAAGAAAGAATATACAGATGGCTTTGATGTGTAGAATAATCAGATATGCATGGTTAATGCATTGACTTTAGGCCTGCTGGTCGCTTGGAATGTGGGATGCAGAAGGGTATTAACATTATAAGTAGGGATATGCTCCAAAATAAAGGGGGGGGGGGGGGATTTAGTTTGAGGAGCGCGGCCGCAGAAAAATTAGAATAAGAGAGCTTTGGTTTTAGCAACGAGTGTTCAAGGAACCGCTCAGAGCTCCTGTTGAAGGGTAAATGGACGAGTCTTGCAGTCTCATCAGCACGCTTTTGACCGACCCGAGCCACTTGTCGACAGACTCTTCGTCGTAGGCGCAGAAACGGTAGGTGACGTCTTCGGTGATGAGCTGAAAACAGAATATTTTTGACCTTGAGAGGGGGTCAACCTCTGCCGCATTGATGACCTCGGTCATTGGTATGATCTTGACAGCCGAGTATTCGTGTTGGTCCTTGTAGAAGGAGAGGCTCTGGACTCGGAGAACCGTCCATAGCTTTTTCCATTTGCGGACGCCCTTCCGGCCTTTCAAACATTGCAGATAGCCCTGGAATATGACGCCCTCTGGATCTGGCTGGCTAGGAGCAGCTTCACTTTGGCCACTGGCCAGGCGGCGTAGACTCTGTTGCTGTTGCTGTTGCGGTGGCTGTTGATTGTCTCTATGAGAGCAGGATTTCCGGTTGAGCGCTGGTTGAGATCTCGAAGCAGGCAAAGACTGGCCGGCAGCATCAGAGAATTCGGAGCAAGAGGTGATTTCATTGCCTGAATAGTCCTGGGTAGTTCGGCGCTTCACTCGACTAGGTTGTGCGGGTGCCGTCAAGAGAGAAGGAGTCCGTCCCAGAGCCGCCGTGCCTCCTCTGCCTTCAACCTCGGACATCTCAGCCGCACTCTCATCTGCCTCTGCGATGGTCTGCTTCCGGCCGTGTATCTGTTCGTAGTAGTTTACGACCGAGTCTGGATAGTCGACCGAGCACTCACGGTGCAGCTGCTCAACCCATGAATCCGCCTCCTCTGTCGACGTAGCCTGGAAGCGGTAGTTCTTCGAGGGCGAGAAGACGCCAAAAAGGTTCGGCCTGTTCGACCTAGGCGTTGACTTGACGTGGGCAACGGCCGAGACGTCGGAGAGGGAGAGGGCGAGCTGCAGCTGGGCCTCTTCCTTGTCTTTGTATAGCGAGAGCAGGTTCGGCCGCAGAACGAGGTATCCAGGCTTCCACGATGACTTGAACGCCTACTCGCACAAACGGTCAGTCAGTCAGTCAGTCCGCCAGCCAGCCAGTTCAATCGATCGATCAGCCAGCCGACGATGGCGTATCTCAATGAGTGGTAAAGCGTACATGCTTGCTCTTCGACCGCCGCAGCACCTTGCCTCGCTTCAGCACCCGGTCGAACTCGAAGCTCCCGTTCTCGTTGACCGGTGAAAAGGCGTCCAGTATCTGGCTCCGACGGACTCCAGCTCTCTCTGTGTGTCCCTCCGCGGCGATCGCATCCATCGCAGTCGATCGATCTTCCGCTGCTGGGAGTTGTAGGTGCAATGTCATCTCGTAAAAAAAAACTACCTAGGCAAGGAAAATAGAAAAAAAAAAAAAAAAAGGCGATATCAAGTAGGATTATAGAAGACGCCACCCCTCGGTCTTTAGAAGAGGAGAGTCCTCAACTTGACGGGATTCAGGGAGAACTGCAGAGGTCCTTTTAATGCCATTATTGCCATTCATCTATCTCACGTAGTTATTTATGGCCCCTGTGAAGCAGGAGAAGGGCGTCTCTTCTCCAGGTCCACAGGCGGTGGCCTCGAACAGTTTCAGGTCCGCTCCCCCGGCCCTCCAACGAGCAGAGCGAGAGCGCTAGCTAGACGGCGGGATACGAGAGAAGCAGCGAGGAAGAAGAGGCTTAACATCATATTATTACCAAGAGACACTCAGGGCCTTCTGATACGCTGGCTCAGTCTTCAGTCAACTCAACCGCCCGCAGGATCCTTCAGGGGCTTCGCCGTGTGCGTTTTTGATATCTGCCCTCCGCCCGCCATCGCCAGCGCCTGCAAGGCTGATTCCTTTGCAGCAGCAGAGCGGCGCTTCCTGCGAGTCCATCAGTGCCCGTAACAGCCATCCACCTCGCCTGCTTGCTGTCCTGCTGGCGATATTCAAATCTCTGCTTCCACTTGACTGCTCTTTATTTTATTTTTTCTTTTCTCTCCCTTTTTTTTTCCCGGTTGGTCAGGAAGTCTTGGCGTGTTTCTTCTCTTTCAACTTTCTTTTCGCTTTCGAAGACGAGGAAAAGACAGAAAAGACAAGCAGAACCAACCACCAGCCCAGCGAAGCCTGCGAGGACGACGAAGAAGAAGAAGAAGAAGAGCGTCGTCGACTGTCTTCCTGTCTCGCCTGCGGTTTCTCATGCTCTCGATGGCTCTGCGTTAGTCGGTACCCCCCCCCCCCCCGTCTGCCGTCCGCTCATCCCCATCGTGCTTCGTCACCGTTCGCCATCCGCGGCCAGTCTTGTCGACTCCAAGCCAACAACCAACACATTACTGTGACCCCGTCGCTCGTTTTTGAACTCCCTCGCTGTCTGCAGCGTCTTTCTCCTCCTTAGACTGCAAGCTCTGAGACGTCCTCGAGCTTTGCTGCGTCGAATTCGGCTCCTTTTCTTCAAACAAGCAGCAACAAAAGACACAGCAACAGCAAAGGAAAGGGAAAAAAAAAAAAAAAAAAAAAGAAACCCGCCTCAATTCTGCGCTGATATACACAAACCCTCGCCGTCATGGGGATTATGAAGCGACTCACGAAGAGTGTGCCCGGCATGCTTTCCCCTTCGCCGCTAGATGGCAGTCTTACCAATGAAAAGGGGACGATAATATCGAGATTCGCTTTTTTTAAACGCCGCATACGACTACGGAGGAACTCTTCTATTTCGATCCCTCTGGGCCTTGTTTTACTATTTCCATGCATTGTAATAATCCTTATTGTCCTCCTCTTCGTTACTCACCCTTCTTCTCCCGGTGGGATGCTGATGCCCACTGGTACTCCTCCTTCTATACGGTATGTTCTCCTTAACACGTAAGCTACATCCGATTTTTGTACGAATTGTATACTGACGGCTATACTCCCGGAAATCAGAAAAATCAGCGAGAAATATGACAAAGTGTTTGAAGTAGGCTGCAGAGAAATTGACACCAGTCAGCCTAGAGCAAACGCCGCCTTCGTCGTCCTGGCCAGAAACAAGGAGCTGGAGGGTGTAATCCAGTCTATGAAGTCGATCGAGCGCCACTTCAACCGATACTACAACTACCCGTATGTATTCCTGAACGATGGAGACTTCGACGATAACTTCAAGGATACTGTCACCAATTACACCAAATCCAGCGTGGAGTTTGGCAAGATCGACTCGTCAATGTGGGGATACCCTGACTGGACCGATGCTGAGGTAGCCAAAGAGGGTATCCGCAAACAGGGAGACGCTGCTATCATGTACGGAGGAATGGAGAGCTATCACCACATGTGTCGATTCTACTCTGGGTTCGTCGTCGTCTTGTCTTACACCCATGCTTCCCTGGATATTAACGTCTGTCTAGGTTCTTCTATAAACATGAGCTGCTAATGAAGTATGAGTGGTACTGGCGCCTGGAGCCAGAGATCAAGTACTTCTGCGATATCACCTAGTTCGTTGCCCTGGATCCCTCTCGTTTAGACAATTAGCTGACCTTCATTCAGTGACCCTTTCCTGGAGATGGCTAAGAACAACAAGACGTATGGCTTCACAATTGCCGTCAAGGAACTTAAAGAGACCGTGCCGAATATCTTCCGCTATGCGTCTGCCTACAAACGAACGAACAACATCACTTCCCAAGGTCTATGGGAAATGTTTCTCGAGGACCCCGTCGAGGAGGAAAAACCGGCAGAAGAGAACAATGCCCTCCCAGACGAGATTCTACAGACGCAGCCCGGTGCTGCCGGCCTCAAAGACGTTGATCCTGAAGCAATGGAAGGCGAGACGTACAATATGTGCCATTTCTGGAGTAACTTCGAGATCGCACGGTTGGATTTCTTCCGTAGCAAGGCTTACGAAGACTTCTTCACGATGATGGATAGGAGTGGTGGCTTTTGGAATGAAAGAGTACGTCTTTGTCTACCCATATTCTATATATATATGAATTTCTTGCTACAGATGCTAACGAAACCCTTGTTTCATCAGTGGGGAGATGCACCTATCCACTCTCTTGCTGCCGGCGCACTTCTGTCTCCAGCCGACATTCACTACTTCAGAGATTTTGGATATCGTCACACCACCATCCAGCACTGCCCCGCCAATGCTCCAGCCAGACAACGCGTTCGAGATCCATATCTCGAACAAACCACTCTGGACCCGAAGCTCCGCCAAGAAGAGGACGAATACTGGGACTCTCCAGATCCACCCAAGGAGAACGGCGTTGGCTGCCGATGTCGCTGTGATACCGACATCGTCGACGTGGAAGGCAAGCATGGCAGTTGTCTAGCGGATTGGGTTAAAGTCGCAGGAGGATGGGCGTCGCCGTAGATCATCAACCACTACGCAACGACCACCTTCTCTTGCTTCTTTCTCTATTTTTCCCCCTGTTTTCTTTTCTGTTTCTCTCTGCCGGCGCGACATTGGCTATACCCTTTTGCACACACCTACACCATCGGGTCCGCAACGCCGTGCCACGAAGATATATCATGACTTGTCCT